CTGCTCGGCCCTCCTCCGCCGCCTGCTCTCTCCTCCTCCTTCCCCCACGCTGTCCACCGAGCCCCGAGCTGTCCACCGCGCTGAGCCCGGCTGGCCCGGCGGCTTCTCTGACACCCACCCAGCCATCAGGGTACGTGGGGGGCTGCTCGGAGGTGACTTTCAGATAGGCGCCGCCTCCGGGTTTCCTTTTGCCGTTCAGAGGTTTTTAGGGACAGGAGGATCTCAGATCTGAGAAAACGGAGGGAGGCAACGGATGGCATTTGAAATACTCTGAGGTTATGGGAAGGAGAGAGTTACCCCCACTTTAATTCTGCGAGTTGTTTTGGCTGTTTAACCCAGAATTCCCAATAGATGGGTCAGCCCAATAGATGCCCTCTGGCATTTGGGTGCTTATAGTAAACCAGGCACTGGTCTAAGTAGTCTACTAAATTATCTCATTAATACAGGGACGCCATGAGTGGGAAAAAAAAATAGTTACCCCCAGTCCAGAGGAAGTTAAAAAACTTATCTAAGGTCACGCTTGCAGTCAGAGGTGGAGCTGGATTCGAACTCAGTGGCACTCAGAATCTAAAGTTGCTGTCTCTTCGCTGTATACCTCTGGGCGGGACTTGAGAGCAACCAAACACAAGCAGGGCAGAATGTTTCTTGAGCAATGGTAGGAAGCTACAGACAAAGGAAGGAAAGGCTTTGAAAAGGAGTGCAGTTTTTGTGGGGACAGAATGTATTGTCATGTGAGGGAGAGGGGCTAACTGTAGTTGATGGCACCCCAGTATTGGACAGGTTAGGAGACCAGTGACTTCAACAAATAAATAACTCAGAGCTTGACCTTGACCTTAAAGTACTGTCACCATGTCCTTGTGCCCCTACACTGTGCTTCTGTGGATTCCTGGAACTGACAGATCCCCCTTGTAAACGAATTCACGTTCTGCCGTTCGCCACCCTGTAATGGGCACCCAGACAATGCTGGCACCACCCCAAGGACCGAGAAAATCTGAAACCATAAGGGCAGACCAGCTGGAAGATTGATAAAAATCTGACTTTCCTGCAGTTGAAAGTGTAGGCCCAAATCTAAGGCCTTTATTTTTGCTCTATATTTAAGGTGTGATTGACCCTATGAGCAACTCTGCTTGGGGAAACTCGAGCCTAGGGGTCAAGTAGGAAAATAATACAACCCTTGGAGTAGGGGAGCCCGTCTTTGAAGTGGTAATGCAGAAGTGTGATGGCCTAGGCAACAGGCTGGAACTTGTAATTTCATGGACTCGGCACTTAAATGTGGCATGATCTGTGTCACTTGCTTCGGCTGCACACAAAGTCGCCCTTAATTGCTTGACTGAAAGCAAGCGCCACCTGCTGGTATCCTCCCCCTAAACCTCTCTCAGTTTCTCTGGCCTACGAAAAAAACAGGCTTCAAAATTCATTATCTTAATAAATGAAAACGTATTTACAACACATAAAAATTAACCTATCTTCCCCTTTTCTCATTTATTTTTCCCCAAAAGTCGAGTGAGAAACAGAAAAAAAATTCCAATTAAAAGCTCCTGCCGAAACCAGATGGTAGGCTGTGTCATCGGTTGGCAGGATATGATTGAGCACATCTTCTGGCTGCCTGCAAATTTAGTTCAGACCAAACGCTATTGTGATGCATCCTACGCGTATTGACCACATTAAAAGCAGACCACCAATTCCTTTTTAGAAAAAAATGGTGGATTGAATATAAATTTACAGCTTGCTTTTTAACAAATGTTCAGTCCCTATGTAAAATTGACCTAGTCATTCGAGTTTGGCTACTCTTACTAAATTATTCGAGTACTAAAGTGTAAACTCCATGAGATAGGGACCCATTCACCTTTACAACTGTTTTCTTATATCTCAGCAGCTAGGGGAGTACTTTGTATATAATGAATATATAATGAACATTAGTGATTATTGTATAATACACCCTGTGTAAGG